CTCCTCTCATGAGCATTGCTTGTTTCTCTGTTGTTTTGTGAATACTGACTAATGAAATAATATCTGGACACAGCCCATTTGTTGTGGTTTTTTTAGGCTTCTTAAGTCCCAGTTATTTCTTAAAAATTACTTTCTCTGAACTCTTTGTGCCATGCCAGAAAACTGAGGAACAGAGGGAGCAGGACAGGACCCTGGGTGTGTCTGCGTGGCGGGGAAGGGGCATGTGCATGCAGCATCCTACTAAACCTGAAGGAAAGAGCACAACATGCAACTGGGGCTAGTTCTAACCACCCAAAAGTCACATGGGGTAGAGGCAGGTTGGTGAATGATCCATTGCCTAGTGTGGGAGGAGGCTGAGACCCATCCCCCAGGGAAACTACCATCAGAGGGGACAGAGTCAGAATTTCAATAGGGGAAAACCAGAAGAGAAAAAATAAATTAGCAAAGATTGCAGAAAAAGAAAACTCTAAAGACTAAAAACATAAGCATATAAGTCAACAAAGAAAACATTAAAAACAGAAGGAAACTTGACATCTCAATCTAGTAAAGGAGTTCAGGCCTCCACAATCCAACACCAAGGAAACCAAGGAACCTGTGGAATTTGAGGAGATCATGGAACCACAGCACACTGTTCCTGAGTGGGTCAAAAGAAGAATGTGAATGATGAGAGCAGAATTTATGTCCTGAGTAGCAAACCTAATAAGCAGAATAGAAAAACTGGAATGTGCAATGGCAAGTTTTATCAAAGAAATAAACAGAGAACAGTGGATTTGGAATGTAAATATAGAGAAGTGAAGGACAATCTAGAAGAAGACAAGCAAAAAACGATAACTTTAAATTAAAATCTGCCTACTATGCAAGAAAAATACACTGATCTCAGTGACAGGATGAGCACTGATAACCTGAGGATCATAGGGCTCCTAAACAACCTGACAGGACCAACCCCCCACCCCACAAAAAATGAAACAAAAAAGAAACAACAAACCCTTAACAACATAATGCAGGAAATTACAGGAGAGAACTGCCCAGAACTTCTGAATATAGAAAGTGAAATTCTAATTGAAAGAATTCACAAGATTACCTCCAACAGGGGAAAACATAAGGCTCCAAACTTAAGACACATGGTCAGATTTAACAGTTCATTTCAAAAGTGACAAATTCTGCAAGTGATTAGGAGATTGAGTTTCAGATACAAAGGAAACAAAATTCAAATGATACAAGACTATGGTACACCCACCAGAAACCATAGGCTGGAATGAATAATGTGTTCCGACGAACAATAGAGGTCCAGGATGCAAGATGCAGGATGTAGTCCAGGGCGATCTACCTTGCATGTCTGAGTTTAAGTATGCGTGAAAAAAAATATGGCTGCTTAATAATAAAGAAATATTTGAAACATTTTTAGTAAGAAAACCAGAATTGAAGAGATTGCTTCTTGAACACCCCAAACAACCGAAATGCAAACGTAGTGAATAAATGCAACAGCCAAAGAGCGATAGCAACGAATTGACGGCAGAGATACCAGTAAGGAATTTCTTTGTAAATGTACACAAGGAGGCAGGGTCAAAGGTGGTAGTGTAGTGAAAGTAACAGTGAAGAGGTGGTTTGGGTTATTATGAACAATACTTGATGATACCCTACATTGGAGTGAAGCGGTGTTTTTTTTTTTTTAATGGGCCTACATTACAATATGGAAAGGTAGATACGAGGGGGAGGAGATCAGGGGAATAAAGGGAATGGGTAATGTGCCTAGGTTAAGTCGAAAGCAACCAGTGAAGGAAAGGGTACTTGCGTGTTACCAGAAAAAGAGCCTGCAGAGAAGTGGGTGAGGGAGAGGAGTGAAAGATTAAAAAGAAAAAAGGAAAGATACTTTGCTTCAGTGGTATGAGGAAATTCTACTGATGAATGCTCTTGAGTAGAGAGAGGGGAGTGTGGCCTGGAGAATTTGATGCTTGAAAAGTCTACTTCTCATGTCTCAGAAAGAGGGAGGTTGGAACTCCTGAAGGCAACTCATACTTGGGGGAGTGGGAGAGCTTGGTCCTGGGGGTAGAGATTTTGAGACAAATGGGGAAAGGTAGCCATTGGGGGGATATAGATCAGTGGTGGGCTACATAATCAGGGATGAGGTAGAGGAGGGTACCTACCGTGGGTCAGTGTCCTCTCTGCTATCTGCAGTAATGGATGTAGTTCTGGGAGTGAAGCACAAGGAAAAGGGAAGTCCATGGGTCAAGTTCTACAAGGTAGTGACAGAACCTGCCTAAAGGGGAGAGCCTAGAATGGAAACTTTGGAAGCTTTGATTGCATGAGGAGTAGAGAAAAAAGAGAGAAACCATATAATTATAGTAATCATGAATCCGAGAACAAGGGTTTGGAGTAGACAGAAGGACAAATACTGAAGAGAGTGAAAAAAATCCATTTTGGGGAGGGGCCCCAAAAAATGAAATGTTAAAAAAAAAACCAGCTAGTGAGTAGGACTAGTTCAAGGGGAAGAGAGGGAGGGGAAATCTACTTGACTAAATGAAAGGAAATAATAGGGCATAAGAATTATATAACCAGGAGAGTAAAAGGAACTAATAAATAAAACATCGAAGAGAAACAAATGAGAGGAGGAGATCAAGGGTGAAAGAATGAGAGCCAGTAGGAACAGCCACCTTAAAAAAGATTAAGATGAAGTAACTGAAGGAACATAGTACTGTGTTTACAGTGAAAGTAGGGAAAAATGATTACTTGAAAAAAAACTATTAGAGATGCATAACTGTCATAACTTTAAATTTGAACAGATTAAACAATCCAATAAAATGAAAAAGAGGTACAGGTGGGAATAAGAAAACAAAACTCTACAATTTATTACTTACAAGAAACACATTTAAAAAAACAAAGACACACCCAGAATGAAACAGAGTAGATGGAAAAAAACTTAATATTATGTGTTAAGTGAATAAAAAAAAAAGCAGACATTTGCCATCATGCTCTCTGATAAAGCAAAAACAAATATTCAAAAAATAAAAAGGGACAGACAAGGATACTATATTGCTAAAATGAGCTACAAATGATAAAATAATGTTAGTAATAAAATTATATGCTGCAAACAACTTAGTATCCAGATTCATAAAGGAAACATTATCTAAGCTGATAGAAGACATAGTAACACAATAGTGACAGAAGACTTCAATGTCCCTTTCTCAGTTTTGGATAAGTCTAACAGAAAAATAAAACAGAAAATATGGAACTGAAGAAATTGCTGGAGAAACTAGAGTTAAAAGACATAGCATCTTTTAAAAGGGACAGTAAAAGGATACACATTTCTCAGGACCACATGGGACTTTTACAAAAATTCACCATGTACTTAGGCACAGAAATATTGTAGAAAGGAGGAAATAGTGAATACATCCTTTATAGACAATAATGCAATAAAGAATAATTGGTTTTGGGGTCACAAACAAAAGATATAGGCCCAAATGGAGACTTAACAATGAAATCCTAAATAAAAAGTATGTCAAAGAACAAATCACAGAAATAATAACTGTCATAGAGAAAGATAATGATGAAACAACATGTCAAAATTTCTGGGATGCAGTTAAAGCAATTCTCAGGAAAAATCATATCCTTACAAACACATTAAGAGAAGAAAAAGGATTAATGAATTGAAGTGCAATTTTAAAACATTAGAAAGCTAACAAATAAACCTAAAATAAGCATAGAAGAAGTGATATTAAAAATTAGTAAATAGATAATATAAAAACAAAAATACCCCATAGGAATGATAAATTTAAAGCTGGTTTTTCAAAAAGACTAATAAAATTGATAAATCCTTACTACTCTGTTAAAAAAAAAACAGAAAATAAAATCAATAAAATAGCAAATGAGTAAGATGAATTCACAGCAAAACCAGAAGAAATAAAAAGCATAATTTGCACATATTATACACCCTTCATGCTAACACATCTGAGAAATAGAGTAGATCGAGCTGCAAAGAAACCACCATAGTGTCTGTAAAGGGAAATAATGTGTAATTGGTCCAGAAATATAGTCTGGAGCAGTATTACTGATGGAGGAGAAAGAACCTAGGCCAAATGTAATTCATGAATTACAAGGGATATTTACATTTTAAAAAATTTCTTTCAGATTGGGACACTAGGCCTGAAACCAGGGAGTCAACTCCAAAGATGAGCCTCTCTGTGGAAGAATCATTCCGAGAAAGAATTAAAGTGGGTTGTTTCCATTTCTCCAAGTTTGTTGAAGCTTGGGAGTATGAAGACTTATTACAGAAACAGCAGAACAATGAGAAGAAACTTTTTAGTTATGTACGAATGACTGAAATAAAGTCTCCCAGTCAAGTAAGAGGACATGAATGTAAAAAATATAATGGAGGCTTCTGCCAAGGGTCAATACTTTTTCCACAACACAAAGTATTAGTTGGAAAGAGCCTCCTTCATCAATCTGATAAAAACCAAAAGAGCCTCAGACTGTATTCAGACCTAAACAAACAAAATAGAATTTCCTCAAAGAAGATGTTTTCTAAGCATAATGAATGTGGGAAATTTTTCAATTATAATTCAAAACTTACTGAAAATCACAGTATATATAATGGAGAGAACGTGCATTTAGGTAATGAATGTGTTCAAGCCTTCTCCAGTAGCATACACATTACTCACATTCAGAGAATTCCTATTAGTAAAAAACGTTATAAATGTAATGAATGTGGGAAAGCTTTTAGTCAGATGACAGGACTTACTCAACATCAGAGAATTCATACTGGAGAGAAACCTTATACATGTAATCAATGTGGGAAGGCCTTGAGACAGAAAGTACATCTTATTATACATCAGAGAATTCATACTGGAGAAAAACCTTATAAATGTAATGAATGTGGAAAGGCCTTCAGTTGGAAGACAGGACTTACTGAGCATCAGAAAAGTCATACAGGAGGCAAACTGTATGAATGTAGTGTATGTGGAAGGGCCTTCAGCCGGAAGATAGGACTTGCCTTCCATTTGAGAATTCATACTGGGGAGAAACCTTATGCATGTGATGAATGTGGGAAAGCCTTCAGGCAGAAGGGGACACTTATTGAACATCAGAATATTCACACTGGCCAGAAACCTTATAAATGTAATGAATGTGAAAAGGACTTTAGTCAAAAGTCTGGACTAGCCAACCACCTGAGAATTCATACTGGAGGGAAACCTTATGCATGTAATGTCTGTGGGAAGGCCTTCAGGCAGAAGAGATCATTTATTGAACATCAGAATGTTCATACTGGACAGAAACCTTATGAATGTAATCATTGTGGGAAGGCCTTTAGGTGGAGGAGAACTCTTACTGAACATCAGAATGTTCATACTGGAGGGAAACTTTATAAATGTAATGAATGTGGAAAGGACTTTAGTCAAAAGTCTGGATTTGCCTACCATCTGGTAATTCATACTGCAGGAAAACTTTATGCATGCAGTGAATGTGGAAAGACCTTTCAGGGGAGTTCGAAACTTTCCCAACATCAGAAAATTCATACTGGAGAAAAACCTTTTGAATGTAATGAATGTGGCAGGGTTTTTAGCCAGAAGACAGGACTTAGTGAACATAAGAAATGTCATACTGAAGAGAAACCTTATGAATGTAGTGAATGTGGGAAATGCTTCAGACAGAATTCCAGACTTACTGAACATCAGAAATGTCATACTGAAGAGAAACCATATGAATGTAATGAATGTGGGAAAACCTTCCTAAAGAGAACACACCTTGTTGAACATCAGAGAACTCATACTGGAGAGAAACCTTATAAATGTAATGAATGTGGAAAGAACTTCAGTCAAAAGTCTGGACTTGCCTACCATCTGAGAATTCATACTGGAGAAAAGCTTTGTGAATGCAGTGAATGTGGAAAGGCCTTCCAGGCAAGGTCAAGACTTATGCAACATCAGAAAATTCATACTGGAGAGAAACCTTTTGAATGTAATGAATGTGGCCAGGCCTTTCCCCTGAAGGCAGGCCTTACTGAACATCAGAAATGTCATTCTGAAAAGAAACCTTATGAATGTGGTGAATGTGGGAAATCCTTCAGACAGAAGTCCAGACTTACTGGACATCAGAAAATTCATACTGAAGAGAGACCTTACGAATGTAATGAGTGTGGGAAAGCCTACAGACAGAAGACAGGACTTATTGGACATCAGAAAAATCATACTGGAGAGAAACCATATGAATGTAATGAATGTGGAAAAGCCTTTTGCCAGAGAACACACCTTGTTGAACATGAGAGAATTCATACTGGAGAGAAACCTTATGAATGTAACGAATGTGGGAAAGCCTTTAGTCATAAGAGAACACTTACTGAACATCACAATATTCATACTGGAGAGAAACCTTATAAATGTAGTGAATGTGGAAAGGGTTTTAATCAGAAGGCTGGACTTACTTACCATCTGAGAATTCATACTGGAGAGAAACCTTATGAATGTAATGAATGTGGGAAGAACTTCAGCTGGAAGACAAGACTTACTCAACATCAGAAAATTCATACTGGAGAGAAAACTTAGTAATATAATGAATGCCATTTGCAGAGAATGTATTGAATATATTGAACCTTGGAGAGAAAAAAGAGAGAAATCCTAGGAATGTCATGAATTTTGGAAAGTCATCCAGGGGAGCTTAAAATTAAGCACCACAACCCATACCGAAGAGAAGCTTTATGAATGTAGGGATACATTTAGCTGGAAGACAGTACTTATTGAACGTCACCAAATACTGGAGAGAAACTTTAGTAATATAATGAGGCAGCTAGGTAGTAGCGTGGGTAAGAACACTGGTCCTGGAATCAGGAAGACCTGCATTCAAATTATGCTTTAGAAGACATGAGTTCACATCCTGCCCCACTCACATCTATGAGATTCTGGGCAAGCTGCTGAACTTCTCAAACTCAGTTTCCCTGGAGAAACTATAAAAAAAACTATAGTGTATATATATATATATATATACATATATATATATATATACATATATATATATATATATATAATATGTGCACATATATCTATATTAAAAACTTTTTAAAATCCCTATAAAATGGGGTTAATAAGTAGCACCTACTGCACAGTGTTGTTTGAGGATCCACTAAGATTATTTGTCTTCAGAGTTTTTTCAACCTTAAAGTTGAAGTTTCAACCTTAAATACTAGCTTAAAAATAGTAATTTTGGGAAGGAAATATACCTTATGGAAGATCAGAGAAGTCACACAAGAGAAAAACTTTATGAAAGTGATGAGTTTGGGAAGCCTATCCAGTGGAACATGAAACTTAATGAACATCAAAAAATTGATACCTGAGATATAAAATAAAATACCTTTTGAATCTAATGGGTTGGCAAAGGTCTTCCAATAGAATATCAGTTCTAGTCCTGAATATCAGAAAATTCATACTGGACAAAAATCATACAAGTATAGTAAATATTGTAAAGCTTTCCACCATGGAGAACATATAAAAAGTCATTTAAAGTTATCCTGGACAGAGAGCTTATGAGGGAAGGCCATGCTTGATAGAAAATTTGTTTATTCAATATCAGTAAATTCAAACAGGAGGAAACTTTTTTTTATGAATGTAATGAATTTGAGAAGGTATTCCTTGAGAGCAGACAGGATTCCCAGTGGAGGAAAAGATTTTGGATATATTGACTTTAAGAAACATAGTTAAGATTTCAAAGCACACATTGAAAATTTTAAAAATGTAAATTAAAAGGAAATCTCTTTAAATGAAACAGACAATTGTCTCATTTCCCACAGTTTTCCTAAAACATTTTTTCATCTTAAGTCTTCTTCTACTTCCTTAAACTTCTTCACTGAGAAAATTATGGCAACAGTCCATGAGCATATTTGTTTAGTTCAGCTCCACTCCTCCAAATCATCTTCCTTCTAAGCCAAAAGGAAGAAACATCTATACTTTGCCACATCTAAATCCCTGGCCTGTGCTCTTAATCACATTCTTTCCTCTCTACTCTGAGACCTTATTACAGCATTCATTCTCCCCCTTCCCTTCCTCTCTGCCTGCCCCCTCTTTCTGTCTCTGTGTCTTTCTTCCTCCCTGTATCTCCCTCCCTCTCCTCTTTTCTCTCTTTCTCCATCTCACCATACCTATATGCATGCCCATTCCTGTTTCCCCTATCAATCTATCTCTATCTGCCTCTCTTCCTCTACCACCCTCCCCCTTTACAGGTTACCTGCCTCATAAAGATGTTATAATTCCCTAGTACTGAACACACAGACACACAGACACACACATATACATACACAGCAACCCTAACCCTTGTTTTTGTGTAGCTATAATCACAAGTAATTACTATCCCATATCTCTTTTACCGGTTACTGCCAAATTTCTTTTTTTCTAATTCCTATATTCAGTGTCTCTAGTTCCTAACCACCACATCTCTTCAGTTGCTTGAAGATCAATTTCTCCCATATTCTACTGAAACTCTTCTCTTAAAGCTTGTCCTTAACTTTTTACTTATAAAATTTAATAACTTAAAAAAAGAGAAGCTCTTGTCCTCTAAAGTCTTTAGTCCTACTAACGTCCTCCTCCTTCTAGATATTCTCTCTTCTTTTCAAGAAGACTGCTCTTAATTCTCATACATTTTTATTTGCTCCTGTCCTTTACTGAATGCTTGTCCATTTCTCAAACCCGTAAGGAAGATGATCCCCTGGTTTTTGCCTTTTTCCTCTTTTTCCCATATCTATTCTGCCCATGTGGCATCTAATGCAGTCCAGTTCTGGTAACCTTGAACTTAAGAGAAGAAATTTGGATGAAGAACATCGGAAACCAGGGGTAGAAAGAAGTCAGGAGAGGAGGACTCTCTTGGACAGCAACTGTATGACCCCCATGAGTAATTTTAAGAAAAAAACTTGCATAAACTTCATCTTTATTTGGTCACAGAGGATAGAAATGGGAGCAAATTGTAGAGAAGTAAATGTGGGCTTCACATAAGGAAAAACTTCCTAAAAATTAGAGCTTCTCTAAAGCAAAATAAGTTGTCTCTAATTGGACGGTTTTGACAAGGAGAGGCTAGATAGCCACTTGTTGGACTTGGGGTAACTAATTTTTGCATGTGATTTGGATTAAGTGGCTGCTGAGATCCTTTCTTGTTCTAAAATCCCACCATTATAGGATTTCTAGAATTGTCTGATTTTCCCTAATGCCCTCGTTAAGTGTACCTTTGATGTATGTCAGGTATTCTTACGAAAAGTTTATATAGATGAGAAAGCAGTCATATAGATCAATAGTCATTGATGTTCTTCTGTTCAATTTTGGGGAATATTAATAAAGCCCAAGGTTTTTCCTACCTCTTTTGCCCCTCTTCATCTTTAGCTACCTTATGAATCAGTCCTTCAGTGCCCTCATGATCATGTTCCTTGCTGCAGAGATCCCTTCTGTTTACACTTGTTCCAATCCAGCTTTTCTTTCTCTCTGCCTTCTCTTAGCATAGCCAGGACTATAATTTTAAAGTCCGTATGTGATTATTCCAGTATTCTGGTTGGTTTAAAAAACATTATGATTATGAAAGTTTTTCCGGAGGTTTTCTGTTTTCTTCCCCTTTATTGTCCTTCCATTGTTATTCTTTAAATAACCATTTGGATAATTCAGCTACATCTCTCACCAAGCTTTTGATTGTCCATAGTTCAAGGAGGCAGGGATTTGAGAGTAGATGATAGTATCATTATTGAGGCTTCATTTTAAATTTTTATTTAGCAGCACAAACAAAAGAAAGCCATCATTCTGGTTAGGGTCAAATGTGCTAAAGATGAGAAGATCCAATTGCCAGAATAATTGAAGAGAAGGAATTATGCCAGTTGAACTGCAGCAAGAAGATGAGATGTTAACAGATGCCAAAATGACTACCTCACTGCCTGATTTTTTTCATAATTTTAAGTATTTCTTTCATGAAATATATCTTAGGTGAGTCAGCTAAAAAAGAAAGATGCAAATGGGGAATAGATATCCCCTTTCCCAAAGCTGCTATTCAAAACAAATTATTGTTGTTGTTTTTTTTT